ATTGCTCAGCAAGATTTTGTGTCATTCTTCTTTGCACAATCAACCCACTATAGGGCCTCCAGAGCAGTCTTTGGCACTTTGGAAGTTGTTTGAAAAATGTTTTTAGATTATTACCGACTCATTCTAATGCTGCTGACCCAACAGATCACAGCAAAAGAGATCATTTTAACTCGGTTTGAGATACTTTGATAGATAGTTCGAAATACAAGTGAGTCATTGTACCTGTCATTTGTAATAATTTCTATGAAGTATCTTACTGATTATTTCTCACATATCTACTTACCGAGTAGATCACGAGGGGGGAAATCCTCAAATCTTCTTCCACCTTCGTGTTGATGTCGTGTTTTATTTGAACCACTAGAGGGCGGCAATATGGTCTACGAACCTGCGGTCAACAAAGCAGGGGAGGAAGCTGGGGGAGGACAAAGAATAAAGAGGTGTGTTTTATTCAAAGGGTGGGATCTTCAGCATGGAGTATAAGTGTGTTTAGGAAAGCTAGAAAACTTGTTCGCTCACGTTGTGAGTTGCTCTCTGCTGGGACTCAATCAAGGTTTGCTCCATTTGTCAGGTATGTACCAACAGAACTTCTACGGCCCCCAGGATGTGAGGGCTAGGTCACCAGGGGTAGTTTTACTTGTCACCTCAAGGGCTGGAAAGCAGCCTTAAATGGTATGAACCTCTATTCAACAGGTTTATCGAAATTTTAATGAAGTTGGATATCAGACAACGTAAATTGGATATGTTTGGAGTTCGCGCATGCGTCGCTTTTTTGCGTAGCTCTGTTTGGGAGTCACGTAGCCAAATTCTTCCCTACTTCTTCTTCCATTTAAACTTTTAGTCGAAGTTTAACTCAAATATGTCCATTTTTTAAGGAGAGTGTTAAAAAGCTTGACAATATTACCCATTTTCAGGCATGTACTTGAGAAAAATGCGAAAATACAGTAGTTTAAATACAGTAATTTACATTGATAATAAATTTGGTTCCCTTCAAAAGGGTCAAATACATGTTACTTACTCCTGGTATTAAAATTCTAAGATAAACCCTTTTCACCATTGTTTTTTGTGGTTTGCGTCAGGAGTCTGGATGCAGTGCTGGATTTATAGAAAAATAAAAAAAATCCTGGCCATTTTCTTATGATTGTGATGCTGAGGTTACTTTTTGTCCTCTGCTAGCAGAGGGATTGAGGCAGAGAAGATAATGTGTGTAACAAGTTAAGCTTGTGATGGACATTCAAACCCTCAAATATGACACGTGTCCAGCAGGCACCTCAACGGTGGGTTTTTCCTCTGGGGTTGACTGACTGGCTCTCAGGTGACGTGTAAAGATGCAACGCAGCAGCAGGCTGACTCAGCAGCTTTGGGAAAGATGGGTGACCCTGCTGAACTACCTTGAAACTAACCCAAAGGTAACCCACAACTTTCTGACGGGACTTTTTCTTTGAGCGAATGCCTTTCCTTACAGCCGCATTATGCCCCTCTCTCCTCTAACAGGTAGCTCAGGTGAGGAGCACCAGGATGGGGCAGTACCTCAGCAGCCGCCCTCTCTTCGCTTTCACGCTGCTGCTGTTCGCCGTGATGGCTTCACTGCCTGTCGGAATTTTCTTGGCATTTGCTCTGGTCACCGTTGTTATGTCGGCAGCGGGTTTTGTTTTCTTTGAAGGTAGGTATCCTGAGGTCAAACTGTACCCCTGCATTGCGGTGTCATTTTGATCGCGCCTGTTATTTCTGGTTGTGTAGTGTTGCTCCTGTTTGTCGGGGGGCTGACTCTGCTGTCCGTGCTGTCTGGCATCGCCATCTTCTCTGTCGTGGCTTCAGTCGTCGTTAATGCTTTCTTCATCACCATTCCCAGCCTACTGCAGTACAAAAATCCACAAACAAAGGTAGCGTACAGCCTTAATGATACGTGGCATTTATCAGCTTTCTAAGGAACGGCCCGCACACTCATTTTCTGATCCTGTCCTTCCTTCCAGAAAGATGTAAACCATGAGACGGTTGGTGGAGTAAAGCTTCAGGACTAAAAAAGATGTAGCAAACATCTTCATCCTCTCTGCTTCTGAAGTTGGGGATCGGCTCCTTTGAAACTGTGAAGGGGATCCAAGAATCCGATCCACATGTACTACGTGGTCACAGCTGAGTTTGGCAGCTAAGTGTTATCCAAAGATCATGGTCATTACTTCTGAATTATCTTGAACTTGTCAAAATATTGACTTATTTTCACCCACCTTATTCACTACCGGGGCAGTTCTGCTCAGGGCCATTTCATCATCACTGCCCATGATTTTATAGTTTTATCTGAAAGAGGTTTGGAAACGTGTTGGCTGCAAATCGACGCAGCTCAAGATAATGTGCTCTGAAAGTTGGGACTAAATTATTTTCTTTGTATTGTAATATATGTATTCGTATTTATCATAAATGTCCCTATCATTGTTCTGCAAATGCATTTAAACGAAGAATTCATTCATAAGATGTTTTCTTTTATTACTGAACGTTATTTGATTGGATTTGTAACCCTTTTATGTGTATTTATTTGGCCAATAACTGCTCTCCAAGAACCAGCAAAGAGAATATGTTTTTCATTATACCGAGCTGACATTAAGAGTAGACAGGTTAGATGGGAAAAGTGGCCTTCATACCAATGAACATTGTTTAACTTGTTTTTAAAGATTGTTTCTTTTGTGACACCAATGTTTTTATTATTTTTTTTAACACTGTAGGGTTAAACGTATCTAAAACAACTCCATTCTGGATTAAAGGAATCATTCAGCCCTGAACCTTCCTCTGACCTTGATTGATTGTGCTGTTGTGTTCTTTCCCATGTCTTCTTCTGTTCATTGAGGAATAATTGTATCATTTTAGTGTGCCAATGCGACACGGAAGTCTTCATCCAGACAAACTTTTTCATCCAATATTATT